ACTGACAATCGATGGCTTCCGAGAAAACGGGCCTTCAAAACTGTCAGGAGGTTGTATTTTGTTTCATTGCACCAAGGCAAACACTACTATATTAGGTGTATCTTAATTCACAGGAAGAACATTCAATCCTGGACCAATTTAAAACAAGTTTGCGGGGTTGTATACAATACATGTAGGGAGGCAGCTGATGCTCTGGGTCTTTTGGTCAATGATAAACAATATGATGAAGCACTTACCGAAGGAGCCTTATTCAAGACTGGACATCAGTTCAGAGTAATGTTTGCGATTATATTGATTTTTAGTCCTCCCGCAGGGCCTACATCTCTGTTCCAAGCACATTGGCATAATCTTGGTGATGGTGTTCAATTTACATTGAAGATGAAATATGGTATCTCAGACCGGATCAAGATCAAGTCAAAGCTTTTACCTTATACCAACTGACCAAAACCCTTGAATTCATGGGCTCAGGATGAGTCCAAGTCAAATCAGCTTCGTTCAATACCTCCAATTGAACACTCTAGAAGAAGGAACCTTAATAAATGTTAGGGAACAATGGGAATTATCTTTAGACCTCCTGAATTTGATGCAACATCAGTTTTATGACTTGGTCACATCTCCTTTGGACAACCCTCAGCATAGAAAGAATTTATTTTATCTGGATGGTCCTGGGGGTAGTGGAAAAACATTTCTACTCAACTGCATTGTCAACTTCTTCAAATCACAATGCAAAATAGTGGTCCCAGTTGCATAGACTGGAGTTGCGGCATTACTCATGGCCGGCGGTCAGACGGCACACTTGGCTTTTAAAATTTCAATTAAGTTCTCAACTGAATCATATTGTCAGTTCACCGCAAAGGACAAAATAGGCGAAAACTTGTTCAAAACCAAAGCATTAATCTGGGACAAAGCTGTGGCCATGCATAAAGATGCTATAGAAACTGTTGATCAAAGTTTACAAGACTTAATGAAAAACAAGAAACCTTTTGGTGGCAAGATTGTTATTTTTGCAGGAGACTTTTGTCAAACATTGCCCGTAGTCAAGGCGGGATTTTGTCCCCAGTCTGAAGAAGCAACATTGAGGTTGTCAAAATTGTGGACATCAATTCACACATTCAGTTTGAAAGATAACATTTGGCTTGGATTGGGCATTGGAATGGACCATAGTCAAGCTAATAAGTCATTTTCTCAAGAATTATTAGAAATGGGTGAAGGCATGAATCAATTGCCGGACACGGCCAAAATTGAAACAAGGAATATAAAGGTCAATTTTCAACAGAAGGCAACCCAATGTTTCAATCTTGCAATGAACCAGACTTACAGGGATCTTGGCTGGTTCATTGCAATTGCAAAACTTATGCAAAATATTTAGCTGAACGTATTATCTTAACCCCTTTGAATGCTGACGCCGTCAATATCAACACAAGAATGGTCAAGAATATGTTCTACTTCCATAGACAAAACAGATGACACAGCACCAGGATCTATCTCGGTCAAAACTTTGAATGGGATCAATTTCCCAGGGTTTCCAAGCCACAAATTGGAATTGAAAGATGGGGCACCTGTAGTTCTACTCCGAAACTTAAGCATAAATCAAGGATTATGTAATGGGACCCGTATCATAATTGAACGTCTAAGTCCAAGGGCAATCAGTGGTTGGATCCTAAGTGGCCCATTCCAAAACTCCAAGGTCTTGATTCCTAAAATCACCCTGTACCGCAAAGGAGACTCAACCGTAAAGGTGCCTTTCTATCGGTATCAATTTCCGGTGGCCCTGGGGTTTGCCATGACCATAAGCAAATGCCAAGGTCAGAGTATAAACCAAGTCTCATTAGTGCTGAAAGGACAGGTCTTTGCCCATGGGCAGCTTTACGTGGGCATGTCAAGGGTCAAAGATGTGCATAATTTATTTGTCACACAAGTAGGTACAAACTCCAGGGTACTCAATGTTGTTGTGAAAGATATAATTGGGCAAATCTTGCCCAATGTTCCAGATGAAGAGGATCTTATGATTGTAGATTAGGTGACATTAGCTATTCTCAGAAGTAATAAAATATTTTTTGGCTACTATAGAAATATATTAGGCGGCAAAGCCGCCCCTAGACACTAGTCTAATTTATAACTCAATATGGGAGGATGAGATCAATATCATTACAATGAATCTTTAAATACCAGTAGCAGTAACACTAATTATAATACAGAAAACTTTTGACAAAATGACAATAAAAGATATAGCAATAATGATGAGATTTTACCTATGGATGTGAAATACTGGATCAGACAAAATCTTTGACAATGCATAAAGGTG